GTATAAAAATTATACATTATATTTAAATTCTGACCCGTTGCTTTTTATAATTTTTTGCTGAAGTATTACTAAAATTATACATCTTATTATATAAAGCTTGGTTTTCAAAGTTAGCCATTAACAAGATCATGACATGTGTTAATTATAAACGATAGGATGATGACACATGTCGATTCTAATTTTGTTAATATATAGATAAAATAGAAATATTATTAACCCTATCGAAAAAGAAAATATATAAAATAAATATTATAAAGAATTATATATTAAAAATTATTAATTAAATTAAACAAATAACATAATTTCAGTTATGTTAATTTGGTTTATTAATAGGATAAGGATTTAAAATTTATAATTAAAAGAGAATATATGTCAGTTTTTGTTTACAGAAGAGGATTAAGGTTTAAACTTGAATTTTACAATTAAAACAGGTTATTTGTTGGTTTGGGTATATAAATGATAAATGAGAATTATGGTTTATTTTTGTAAATAAAAATTATGGTTTAAGTTTAATAATTAAACGAGATTATATGTTGAAACTTGGTTTTTAAAGTTACTAACTTACGTGATCATGATAAGTGTCAAGTAAAACATAAGATGTCGCAACATGTTATATCTAATTTTGTTAATATTAAGATAAAATAGAATTTTAAAACAACATTAAAAATAAAATAATTATATATTCAAAATTTTTAATCAAAAAAAATAAATTATTAACCTAATTTTTGGTTTTGCCGGTTGGGATTTAACAAAGAGATTAGGGTTTACGACTAAACAATATTATATGTTTTTTTGCCTATAAATAAGGATTAAGACTTAGGTTTTACAATTATTAGGGTTATATGTTGGTTTGGGTTTATAAATGCGCATTAAAGTTTAGATTTTATAATTAAACGAGATTATTTATCGGTTTAGGTTTATAAAAGAGGAGTAGGATTTAGGTTTTTTACAATGAAACAAGGTTATTTATCAGTTTGGGTTCATAAAGGAAAATTAGGATTTACATTTTACAAATAAAATAGATTATGAGTTTAACTAAATAAATATTTTTATTCATGATTTTATGATATGTTATATTTTTTTAATTTTTAATTTATGTATGAATGTTTATGCCGTTGAGCAATTTCATTGTCTAAAACATAAGGGTAAATAAAAGATTTTTGAAAATAATTTTTTTAGCTTAAATTAAATATAACAAAAGTTCAATATAATTTGTAATATAGTAATTTTAAAATATTTTCCAAAACATGTGTAGTTTTCATAATTCGTATTTAAAAGATTTTTAATTTTTTCCTTAACGATGCTATATTTATTTTAAATTCTTTATGTTTATTTGCGTTGTTTATATAAACTTAATTACAAATGACTATATTTGTATGTAACATCATATTTAGATTCTATATATATAATAGGAGAATTCTCTCTCCATTTAGAGTGTCCACCTAAGCATCTACATAAACAATATTATTTATTTTATATTAAATAAAAAAATGAAATATTCATTTAATGCATTATATGTTATTTGTAAATAATAAAATGAGATTATAGATAAATAAAAAACGAATTTTAAATAATTTTAACATAGAATTTCTTTTCATGGTAATAAATAAAAATTAAAAAACAAAATAAATAAAATATAATAAAATTAAAAATAGTAACAATTTAAAACCAATACTATGAAAATTGCATTTGTAATAATAATATGATCCAAACTCTTAACAGAAAAACCATTTAAAATAATATAACATTTTAAAATGTGTTAATGAGTTTAAAGTAAATTTTAAATGCATGGTAGAATAATATAACATTTTTGTAATTGTATGTTTTTACTTTTAAAGAAAAATACAAGATTACTAAGTTCAATTTACAACCCTTTAAGACGGAGATATTTGAAAGGTCACACTTTATGTCGTGAAATTACATTAAAAAAATTAAGACATTATCATTAATCTTATAGAATAATAAATAAATAATGATCACATAATTCTTGAATATTTACGGTAAAA